GGAGAGAGGTAGGTGGGAAGAAAAGCTACACGAAAAGCAACAAGCTGTGTTATGTACATGCGCCTACTCCCCAAGATGAATGTAAATTTCACACCAACATGCACTAATAAAATGAAGGTAGTACATTTAGAAAGAATGTAAATTTTATTAGAATAGAGCCCTTAATGAGTTTCAGTTCTATAACCTGTGTATACAAAATGAGTGTTTAACATGGAGAGGAAGTATGAAGTATAGGTGAAAAAAATTTAATTAATGATGTAGAATAGCTTTTTATATGCTATTTTAGTAAAATTGATATTTCTAGTTTCTAAGGTCTAAGAATATAAGAACAGAAGTCTGCAATCTTGAAGCCTATACAAAATTTTGGAATTTTATCTATCTCTATATAGATAGAGATATAATTTTATCTATATATATTATATATGTTTTATTTTAAAATGGCCCATGTCCACTAAAGTTTAATAATCATTCCTTGCAATTTCAGATCTATTTTTAACTATATGTTCCTGGTTTAATTTGATGCCTTCTTTTAACTACTTTCAAAATCTTTGAGGAATTAAGAACATGAACATATTGAATGAGTTAAACAAAAAGACAATACGCATGAATTAGTGTTTTGTATTAGGAAGAATAATGTGAATTTCAGGATATGTTCTGCCTACCTTCCGAGTCAAATCCAAAAATAAGATCATGTAGATGAAAATAAAGCTTTGGTATATTCAAGAAAATGGAAGGTTTCATAAGGGAGAGCCAGATTTATGATAAAAAAAAAATCCTGTTATTAGTGTTATCACAATTTTTGTCAGCCTCGGGGAATTTAAATACTTTAGAGTATGTTGAACTAAGTGTGAAAATATGAAAGCCAAATACAATAGATTCTTTTTGGGGGGGGTACCAGGGATTGAACTCGGGTCCTTGCACTTGCAAGGCCGGCCACCGAACTGCTGAGCTAAATCCCTGGCCCCACGACAGATTCTTAAACAGAGGGCCAGAGTCCATACACTGAGCAAGTGAAACTGATTCCCAAATTAATTCTGTAGGTCTCAGTGGTTTTCAACCCTGAGTAAAATTAGTTTTCCCAAACATAAAAGGGACATATAAAATAGTGTACTAACAAAAATGCAGGAATTAGGGCTTTGACACAGGATTCTATGTGAAACACAATTCAGTATAAATTCTTCTTACACAAGAGCATAAAACCTTCTGTCAAACATAAAGTATAGTCTTTATTCACTAGCTAATCCTGGTTCTATGACTCTTCCTCCATGAAACTCTTCCTATTCTTTTCCAGGACTTCCCATCAAGAGAAAATGGGATTTTTTAAACTGAGTACTGCTATTACTAATACTACTAATAGCCGGCCATAGTGGTGCACAACTGTAATCCCAACTCATGAGGCTGAGGCAGGAGGATTGCTGTGAGTTCGAGACCAGCCTGGGCTACATAGTGAGTTCCAGGTCAGTCTCAACTACATAGTGAGACCCTGTCTCAAAAAAAAACCAAACTAATACTAACATAGAGTTGGGTTTATTTTGTGTAAAGATCTCAGGGTGATTACATTCTCAAGTCAGCATATGTTATATATTTAGTATGTTGCCAGCACGTGATTTCTTTGTAGGCATCCTTACTCAACTGTTGGTGTCCTTAGAATATATTGCTAACAAGAAATTCTTGAGATTTTTTTCTAATGCCAATTCGTTTGGAAACAAGTCAGTCCTTTCATGAGTTTTCCCACATGCCATTCAGGTTAAGAAATCCAAGCTCAAAAAATTGCTTCTATCCTCCCACTGAAACTGTCACTTCTGATTCCACACATCTGTTATGGCAATGACTGTGACAGCCTGTGGCTACAATGGCGTGGACTGTGACTACGACCATATTAACCAGATAAGACTGGTACAACCCATGTTGTTTTGGGAAATGCTGACTCCTGGTTTCTACTGAGATGTTCTTGATTACTTCCTGAAGCTTAGCATATTTCTATTATACAAGGATTCTTTATGTGTTATTTGCTTGTAGCACTAACATCTAATCCTAGATCAAGACTGATTTGCTGAAATAGCTAAAGATTTTATGTTCAAAACATTCAATCTACTTTCTATATTTGCAAGAATCAAATCTTAGAGAAATTTTGATTTATTTTTCATTGATTGTAATGTCATTTGACAGCACATGGCATATTTTTACACATATTCATTTATCTTTATTTCTCAGTGTGGAAATGTGTGGGGGAAACTCTTGATTTTCTAGCGCTAAGGTCTGTTCCCAGGGCCATTGGTGGTGAATGGACACTACCAGAGAGGAACACCTCATTCTGAGAATCTCAAAGCTCGTAATACAAAGTCATCAGTATAGCTGAGATGATGAATCGAGGGTACTTAAATAGGCACCAACAAATACCTCATAGAGGTGTATTAAATATTCTATCCAATGCATATTTCATAAAGAAAATAGCATTTATCCATTTGTCTTGATTTGACAATAAAAATATAATAATGTAATTCACTGTCTCCAAATATTTTCAGGAAGATAGGTAGAAAATAGTTTTAAAATATCTACACATGTGTGAGAAATTAGCAAATAATACCATTATATGGAATTATTTTTATACTAATTCCACCTAGCCTTGCTTCTGTTTGTGCTTTGGAGCCGTGTGCCCAAAGTCAATGCTAAAGCCAATGTTGAATGTTTTATTCCTTATATTTTCAGACAGAAGTTTGAGGATTCGGGTCTTACTCTTAATGGTTTGACTCACTTTGAGCATGCTGTAAGATTAGATTTGAATTATTCCTTTTGTGTATGAATATCCAGTTTTCCCACCTATAGATATGAAACCTATGTTTTGCCTATTGTATATTTCCAGTACCATTGCCAAAGATCGTTTGATGGTATATGCATGAGTTTATTCTGGGGCTCTCTATTATAAATATGTTGATTTACATAAATAAAGACATGATGAACAAGTGAGTATGAAACACTTCTTTTACCATATAAACCTGCCCCTGAGAAAGTTACTCCATTTATCTTTACTTCTATTCGGCTGGAAAATGGAGGCCATTTTAATACAGCATTAAATTCCATAGATGAGACAGACTTAGATGAGAGCTATGAACATATATTAAAGACATCACAAACATTTAATAAATACTGCTTAATTATTATTGTTTAGATTATAAATAAATTATTTATGGAGAGATTTGAGAAACAAATTATATAAAAATACACATCAAGTTTAGCAAAAATTATTCTTTTATATGCAAAGAATAAAAAAATAAACCATTCATGCTTTTGTTAAAATTATACTCAGTAAATACCAGGCATTATCCTAAGAACTTTACATATTTTAATACATTTACACCTCATAACAGTACTAGAATTTAGGTTCTGTCATTCTACTGAATTTTTATGTAAGAATACCAATTCCAAAGAGACTGTATAATTTGCCAAAAGCCATTAAAGAGGCAGATCTATGTTTCACGTTTTTGTGCAGTAATATGGAAAGAATCTTACACACATTACTAGATAGAATAAATGTAATGATATTGTTAAGGTAGTTTTTCTTTCTAGGTAGGAAAAGAGAGGCACAAGGAACAGGATAAAGTGTAAAAGAATTACATGTTTTAATTTCTGTTGGAGGTATTCATAATTTGGTGGCTTTGGGGAAGTTAACAAATCAATGTATACATGAAAATATTTATATTGATTTTTTTCTATATCAATATGTACTGATTTTCTCAATATTAAGTATATATTGATTTTTCTCTACATATCAATATACACTGATTTTTCAATATATATTTATTTAGGATTATCAATGTGAGTGAAAAAATATGTATTTGGAAGTATTAATGATACATCCTTAAATTTTGATTCAAAATTTGACTGCTTTCAGGATTCTGTTCAGTTTTAGCTGGCACTGAAACCCAGGTCAGGTGCAGATCCTAGAAAACAATAGTCAACAGCAGTCTTGGCTTAGGAATCTAAGTCATTGAGTCTTTCAGGGACTATGGACCATCACACAGGCCAAAGTAGTTTTTAAATCTACTGTTTCTTGAGACGGATAAGTATAGACCATGCAAGTTCCACTTAATCCTAAGATTCAAGAATAAATTAAATGGGAAATACAGCTCCTTATATAAGCATAATTTGAGGAAAATATATTCTGCCTTGGGTTTGGATTTTTCCAGAGATTTTTGTTCCTTCTTATGCAGTCAACAATTTTGCTACCATGAATCTATCAAAGCAAGTTAGATCATAGCCACTTCTTTATTTATTTTTTTTTCACTTTTCATTTTTGGTACTGGGAATCGAACCCAGGGCCTTGCGCTTGCCGGGCACCACTGAGCTACATCCCCGGCCCAATAGCCACTTCTTTAAATTAAATATTAAAAAAAGAATTAAGATGTGTTGCGTACATGTGCCAATCCCCCATGATGAATGCAATTATGTACTGCAGATATGTAATAATAAAAATAAGATATTTTAAAAGGAAAGAAAAGACAAAAACTAAATATGTAGTTAAATTTGCTAAAATTAAGCATGAGATATAAAAATCCCTCATCAAGAAAATATAATTGCCATGTTCACAGATAGGAGTCATAAAAAGTTATTGGAAAAGCAAATGACTATTGCTACAAACTGCGAACTCAGAAATCACAAGAAGAAATATCTCAAGACAAAGAATGTAGAATGCCCTCAATCAGTTCTAAACTTAAATACATCATGGGTGTTATAGAGGACTTCACTTTTTAAAAACAAAATTGAAACCAAAATTAAGGAGTGTAGAAGTTAAGTGTGAACAAGCCTGGGTCGTGTTGAACTTCTGTGTCAATTGAGATGGACAAAAACAGAAACACTTCTTGCCTAAATATACCCAAATCAAAGACTCAAGGCAGGAATTGTGCATAAATATTTACATCTTGAAAGTGATTGCATACACAGTAATGTTTAATGTAAAAAGGTTTGTTAGAGGCTCTACTCCCAGCCAATTCCTAACTAACGTGCATAATATTATCTTGTTTGTCCTGAAAATAATTCCAGAAAGCATGATCATCACTGCTTAAATAGAGCAGAAAACTGAGAGCTTCAAAGACTGTTGCCTTCTTAATGTCACCCATCAAAGACTTGGTAAGGCAATGGAAGTAGGAATATTAAAACAGATGCATCCTAAAGAAAACAGTTGTTTCCTTTAACAGAGTTAAACATAAATGCTGCATGTTAAATAAAGAAAATTGGGACAGTTTTAGAATATTAAAAAGTTTATTAGGAAGACAGTAGAACAGGTGATGCAAGAAAATAAAAATACACATCAACCCAAAGAGAAAACACAGAAGAGCTCATGATGAAATCCAAGTTCTCTTAATTTTCAACAGAGAAATCCAGGAAAGAAAAAGTCAGAAGTACTATGTCAGATCCAGAGAACACTAGAGAGCAAGTCTTCAAAAACATGGGATATAATATAACCACCCAAGCATGACACTCAGAACATGCGGGTTTCAGAACTGGTGAATCTTGATATCATAGGTGTAGAAGGTGAGGATCTTCAGTGGCTTCCTCAGTAGTAGGAGCTAAAGCCAGAGCCACAGCCATAGCCACAGCCACACAGAGAGCGGGAGCCATAGCCATAGCCACAGCCATAGCCGGAGCCATAGCCACAGCCATAGCCGGAGCCATAGCCACAGCCCAGTCCACGGAAGCCACAGCCATAGCCAGAGCCATAGCCACAGCCCAGGCCTCCGTAGCCATAGCCCAGGCCTCCATAGCCACAGCATCCATAGCCACGGCCGCCATAGTAGTTTCCGTAGTAGCTGCCACACATGGTGTTGGTTGTTGAGGTTGTCGTTGGGTAGAGGAGGAGTGTAGGTGACTTGAGTCTGGACAATTCTCACTGCAGAGGGCCTTTTATATGCCTTCCATGTGTGTGGCACTCATCATATGTCATGTAATTATATGACTAATCTAGTTATTTGGTTGTTTGTCAACCATAATATAAAGCATGAGATGTTAAAGAGTTTTGCTCTGACTTCTGAAGTTTGACATTCTGAATCCAATTGGGGTTTTATTGAGAGAGGAGACACATGTTCAAACTCATCAAAACTATAAATGTTAAACATCCTGTATCAAGAGCATACCAGTCTTTACAATAGTCTTTTTTTGCTCTTGAGCCCAATAATTTCACTAATTTTTAAACCTTCACATGAATAACATTCATTTTGCCTTAGGAATTTTCTTCTTTCTTCATCCAAATTATCTTCCTCCAAATCTAAGTTCCTTTTCTATACTGAAGCAAAATACATCTTTCATACCTGTACTGTTAATAATAATTCACCCAATTAAAATTTCATGACAGCCAAATCTGAACAAAGAGCATTCTACCTTCCTACGTATATTCAACTTCTCTTGAAGAAAAAGAAATTTGTTGTGTGTTGGAATCCAGTTTCAGCATCTCTTGGTTTTTAAGTTGTACCCTTAGTAGTTAGTTAATATTTTAAGTATTTAATTGGTTTAGGATCATGAATTGTGGTTCATCAATGAATGAGTCAGAACTGTTCTCAAAACACTGATTTGTACTCTCTGGTATGCCAAGATCTTATCCATTCTTTTGGAGTAGTATGATTAACTATCCTACTGGAGAACCAAAGAAAAGTGGAAGTAGTTGATCTATACTAAAACTTAGAAAGATACCTATCTGTCTTTTATTAAAAACATGTGTGTAGGCAGCAATATTCACACTTTCACATAGATTTCTGATATTCTAATTGTATTTCTGACATCACACAGAAGGCTTCTAGTGCAAATATTATTTTATCATTTCCCTTTGGATAATTTTAATGAGGGTTTTGATATTTGAATGTTGAAATGCTTTACAGAGCAGGGAAGAGGTTTTAAGGTGTTAGACACGCTATGTGTTTTAATTGATTCTTCTGTGTGATCATCAGAATAAGGACATATATTTCTTAAATTACCTAAAATTTGTTTCACCTATTTTAAATGTGTCAAAAAACAATAGGGCCTTAATAAAATAGAATTTTTATAGAACTAATTAAATAAAAATATTAATCTATTTATTCTTCCATAATAAGTTTTTGAATGTTCTTTCCCTGAGTGTTTCTCAGTAGGTGCCTTTTTGTTAGATTGATAAATATCTGTAATGTATTAGTCACTATTTACTAAACTTAGATAGTTGAAAAAAGAATACCTTGGTTTTTTTCTTACGCAGATATCTAAATGAAAAATATAAATAGCCTTAACTGTCAGTGCAGTGTCAAATGAAAAATAACTTAAATATTATTAAAAACTAGTTGAAATAACATGGGAATTATTTTTTCTCTAGGCTATTTAAATTCTAGAAAATGGTTTATGTCAAGCAGTTAAAAAAGCTAATATAATTAATCTTTTTTGTTTTTTATTAGAGTAGTTATTGACACATTTTATTTTGTTCAAAGTGTCCCTGTTAACAATATTTGCTGTTTCTTTTTTTTTGTTGTTGTTGTTTTTTTTACAATTTACTTCCAGGAATTTATTTCCTTCTTCCAAATAATTAAGTTATTCTAGCTCATCATCACAGTGGAAACTTTGTATTATGTTACATGACATTCTTTTTAAAACATCTTTCGGGTGTGTTTTTTGAATATACTCATTTTCACATATATTCATAACGACAAAAGAAGCTATATATCATCATTCCAGTCTTTGACGTAATCATCATTTCTGTATTCTTCTTTCTAGCAAAACTTCCTAAGTGAATGTTTATGCTCTCATCCTAAATCATTCTCTCTATATATATATATTTCTCTCTCTCTCTCTCTCTCTCTCTCTCTCTCTCTCTCTCTATTTTTGGGTTCTTACTACTCTAGGAAATTTTTCTTGTAGGGAGCTTCAAAACCTCAATCTTGTCAAATTCAGAGGTCAAAACTTGGTCATGTTTCTCAGTTCCTACGCAACATGGGGATTCACCAAATTCTTTTTTTATTCCTGAAATATTTTTCAACCTATAATTCTATTCTAGCACATGATACTTACCTAATTCCAACCTCACCAGCTGTTTCCCCTAAATATCCTCTTTTTTGTTCTCTTCATATTTCCCCACCAAATTTGATAGCGCCCAGCTAAATGCTTGCCTCTCTGGTAGTCTCTAGTGTTGATGTAAACTCTGTTATATTGGTCACTTTGATTACACTCTTCTCCCTAATTAATCTCAAATTTTGTCCTAGTTATTATTTTACCTAAAGCAAATACATATCTATGTAGATTATATCATTCAGCATCTTCTAACAGTAACATCTTCCATAAATGTATTATTTCTATCAACCAAATACACTGACTTTATATTATACCGCTAGAGACCTCACCATTTTTAATGATTTTTCTCTTCTTCTTAGGTTTGTTGCACCATCGCTGTCTTTCCATTTGGTGGTATTATGGTTTCAGTCTTGTCCAATAGATCCCATTTTCAGTCTTTTCTGGATATTCATGCTCTTGATGATTCCAATGTTCAGATTTTTGCAGAACATTCCCCAATTCTAATGTGTCTAAAGTTTTGTCATTATTAGATCACAGTTATACATTTTGGCAAGAAGGTCAGAAGAGAAGTGAGTTTTCCGGTGGTCCACATCCTTGGGTGCATGGCATCAAGAGACCTTTGAGACCACTTTCAATCACGTGTTTCTCATAGAATAAATCCTTTTCTTTCTACATATTCAGGATAAATATTGAACATTAAGGAGTGTACCATAGTTTTAGATTATATACAAACTGATAAATACATGTACATATGAACTATAAGACAAAGTAAAAAATGTTTCTCTACAAGCAAAAAGAAATAAAATAGTTGATTATTCAATATTGCATAAGGAAATGATTTCACTATAATGATGTTTTATTATTCTTCTCCTTTTGATGTCCCACTTTTGTTCACAAGCCAGTATCTTAGCCTATAGGAAAGAAGACATTATTAAATAAAACTAGAAATTTTAATAAGAGGAATGTGTGTTATTTGATATACTCATAGACAATCATTACCTTACAACTGGCATTTGAAATAAGAAGACCACCAACAAAGGAGAAGAATCTCTCACTAAAGGCATATGAATTTTATTGCAGGCACTCTGACAAACAGCAGGGTTGTCTTGGGTGTACTTATTATGAGAAATATTTCAGATGGCTTTGTTGCCAATTAGTTTGGAGTATGAATGGAATAGCGCCTGTGGTTTGCCCCACATACCACAAGGTTGGTAGGTAATAAAGCCTCTGCAGAATACAAACTTTATAATTCAGCTACCTCATCTTTGACAAAGGAGCCAATCATCCTCACTGGAGAAAATATAGCCTCTTTAATAAATGGTGTTGGAAAAACTGGATCTCAATTTTCCAAAGAATAAAACTAGAGCCATATCTTTTACCATGCATTAAACTAAAATCAAAGTAGACTGAAAACTTAAATATTAAAACAGAAATAGTAAACTTGCTGAAAGATGTTAGGTAGAACTCTTGAAGATACTTGTGTAGGAAAAGACTTTATGAACAAATCCTCTGTAGCATGCGAACTAGCAAAAGAATCAACAACTGGGATATAATCCTTTTGAAAAGCTTCTGCACTGCAAGAGAAATCATCAACAAAGCCAAGAAACAACTAAAAATCTCGGAAAAAAAGTTTACCAGCTGTTCATCAGACAAAGGACTACTATCTAGAATATATAAAGAGCTCAAAAAAAATCAGACCTCCCAAATATAAAGACCTGATTCAAAAACGGTCATCTGAAATGAACAGATTTCTCAGACAAAGAAGTAAAAGCACATGAAAAGTAAAGAAGTAAATAAACATGAAAAAATGTTGAACATCACTGGTCATTTGAGAGATACAGATGAAAACAACACTGAGATTCTACCTCATCTCAGAAACAATGGCTGCTATCAAGAAATCAACCAATAAAGAATTCTGGTGGGGTTGTGGGGAGAAAGGAACCCTTATCCATTATTGGTGGGAGTGCAGACTGGTGCAACTACTGTGGAAATCAACATGGAGATACCTCAAAAAACTATGATTAGAAGTCCCATTTGACAGAGCTATTCCTCTGCTGGATATCATCCCAAAAGAATTATAAGAATCATACCACAGTGATATATGCTCAACCATGTTTATAGTGGCACAGTTTGTAACAGCTAAAACTTGGAAACAGCCCAATTGCCCATCAACTGGAGACTGGATAAGGACGTGGGTTTTTTAAAAATATAGTAGAGTACTACTCAGGCAAAAGATCAAGAAACTAGAGACATTTATAGCTAAATGGATGAGCATTGAGGCCATACTATTAAGTGAAATTAATAAGACACACGTGTAAATACCAAAGAGTCTCTCTGGTATGAAAAACTAAAAATGTAAATAAGGATCAAAATGTTTAATTGACATTGTGTAATAGGAAGAAAAGGTCTAAAAGAATAGGAGATGTGGGAGAGGTAGGGGAAAGGTAAGAAGGCAAAGAAAAAATATGTGAAAAAGGAAAACATGTAAACAATATATTTGTAAATAGGGAAGGGTGGAGGAGGTGAAGGGAGGGCTGGGGAAAAATAAGAATCAAGATACATCATGTAAAGGTGCAAGATTCCAATGATGAGTGTAATTGTATTGTATACCTAAAATGTACCAATAAACTAAAAAAGGCAAAAACAACTCTAGATGTTGACTATGCTATACAGCTGAGCTTTCCAATCCTGACCCCATGAGCTTCTCCAGCATCTACTATGGAGGCCCAGCTTCCACTATGGCGGCAGCCATGGTAGCTGTGTAGGTTGTGGATAAGCCTATTACCATCCATGCTGCTGTGGAGGACACTGGTCTTCTGGCTTGCTTTGGGAAGCTGAAGATCACTTATCT